ACAGAATGTCTCTTTGATTGCAACTCAATTTTAAGAGCATAATTGACTGCTTGTGACAATGACCAGACCGTATTCAATTCTAATTTGTCTTGAATTGCATCCCGCAAACCCCCTATATATCGTGCCACCAGTTGATTTTCCGATTCATTGAGGTTGTTACGAGCACTCAACCGATAGAATTCTTCCGTATACTCATTCACCGACCTCGCTCCTTGTGAGCAATGCTGGTACTGCACGTACAACATCTGTTCAAAATCAGTTAGTAAAAAATGGCCTCGGAGCAGTTGTTTCATCCGTAACCAGCTCCGCACAGCTCCCCTCCCTTCACGTCTGCGGGTTTGAAGGACTTGCTGCCACCACGCGCTAGCGCCTCCTTTCAATCTACAGGCGACATACTTCACCTGCCTCTCCGGTTCAATATCCATATACTCAAAGAAGGTCTCGACTGCTCTCTCCCAATCGAGGAAATCTTCAATGTGCAACCTGCCATCAAAAAAAGGAATATCTAATTTCACTCAGAAATCCCCTGGATACCTATTCCTTACGGTTTGATGTCTTCTCCGATTTGGTAATAGCTCCTCGTCTGATTTCGACAACTGCTCCGAACGAACACCTTCTGGATCGTCTTCAGAGTCTGTTACTTCCTGCGCTCGAGTGTTCGCGACCGACCACGAATCCACGTCTCGCGGACGGCAAAGTAGTGTGGCCCTCCGCACGAGCGGCTTGATTCCGATCTAGACGCGCATTGATCAACCTCAGTTCACGACGCATTTCCCCAAAGAGCCGATGCATATCTGCAGCGATCTCGTCGGTCTTGTTCACCAAACTGGTGTGCTCCGCCCAAAGGGCGTCTAAGCTGTTTGCATCTCCGGCAGCCACCCGGGTACTTCCTTCTGTCATCCTCGCTCTGATACCAGATATGATGCCGATTGCACCTGTATCAAAACAGCTGAAGCCAATCTGCACCTGCAAGGGAGAAAACAGAGGAACTGGAGGAATAGAAATTCCAATGGAACAGTAACAATTCTGTTTGTATATCTTTTTCTATCTGTTAAGGTACTCGGCCAGGGTATTAAAACCACACTTCTACCTTACTACAAAAATGACTGAACTGTAAAAGTGCGGTAAAAAGTATAATAACTAACTATGGAAGGGAAACTAGTGGAGCACATGCTCACGAACCAACTAAACAGCAATAGCACTAATAATAAAAAGGCTCAATAATACTAATACTTCCCTGGCCCCATGAGACTCATGGATGCGCCGCATCAGTTGAGCAATTATATGAGCATGGCTACTTTTTCTCATGGATATGTATTGCAGAAAAATCACCCACATGGTTGCAAACAAACAATGAACATCAAAACATAAGAACTTTAGATTCCAAAAGCTTAGAATGAATCAACCTCAAACTTGGGCCTTAAATCTTTAACTTAAGATGTTTTATCCATTTGTAAAAGAAGCTGGAGATGGAATATGTTTTAATAATCATGCTTGATGTGCCTTTGTTCAATGCAACCTTAGGCATTTCGGGAATTTTCTTATATGACTAATTGATATTTCATTGGTGGCAAGTGCTATGTTTATCTCGAGTAACATTCAAACACCATTAATGATTGATGCCACTCACTTTAAGGGATGGATACCATCTTATCTTCATTCTGATTCTTGTTGATCATTACCATGTGTATTAGAGCATTTGATAGGTTGCCAAAGACCTTTTTTTTGACATATTAAAGTTTTATTAGGGGTGAATCGATCTAATTCAATGATAGAATAGCCCAATCCATGTCTGACTTGGGATTCATTGAGAAAGTGGCTGCAATAATCTCTCTGTCTTTGTTTGCTAAATTACCATGGTGGATAGTGAATGGAGACAACGAAAGTTTGGCTTTAGTCATTGTTGAGGTCATTTGAAGGTTGGGAATAGGGGTACAACCGAGTCAAGCCGGCTCGAGCTCGACTCGACGAGTCGAGCTTATCGAGCTTGCGAGTCGAGCTCGATAGCTTATCGAGCTCGAGCTCGAACAGCCAGTTGATTGACTCGAGAGCTCGTCGAGCAGCTCGCTTCGCGGGAAAAATGAAATTGTGATGGGAATAAGCAATCAGGGAGCGACGACGGACGCGGGAAAAAGGAAATTGCGGTGGGAAAATGCTGGGTCGGGAAGAGACGACGTCGCGACAGAGAATCGGAAAGAAGAGCAAGTGACTCGAGAGGGATAATGTGAAAGCGGAAGGAGAACTCTGAGGGCGTCTGAGGAGGTGGTCGTCGGACCCGAGGTGGTAACCAGCTATTGCGGGAGGTGTTCACACTTCACACTTGAAGGTAACGATGCCCTAGACCCCATCTCACGCATTTGTTTCTCATCCTCTCTGAACATGGTCGTGGACGCTGATATTTTATCTTCAATGGTGTTCACACTAGGAAGGTAACGATGCCGTAGTCCCCATCTCACGCTAATGGTTTCCTTCAATGTCATTGGCGATGATGCGGTGAGCAGAGATGCGGGAAGCGGCGACGACGGACGCGGATGCGAGCAGCGACGAGGGAATTTTTTTTCTCTGTTGCGACGGACTCGATCGCAGAGCGTCGATGGACGTGGCATTGGCAGCGGACGCGAGCGGCGACGATGTGGACGTGGCATTGGCGACGATGCGGTGAGCGGAGATGAGGGAAGCGATGATGGACGCGAGCAGCGACGAGGGAATTTTTTTTCTCTGTCGAGTCGAACTCGAGAGCTCGACGAGCTTTTTTTTTCTCTGTTGAGTCGAGCTCGAGCTCGACTTTTGAGCTCGACATAAGTTTGAGCTCGAGCTCGGCATTTGAAAGACGACCTCGGCTCGAACAACCCCTGAGTCGAGTCGAACTCGAGCTCGACTCGACTCGTTTGCACCCCTAGCTAGGAAGGACTAAATAGTTAAGTGTTGTATGAATGGGTGCAATTCCTCATATTCCAATAATAGAAGAAGCAACAACCACATCATAATAGAGTGGTTTTGGTTGTTGTCTTGTGCATCTTTTCATAGTTTAGTGTAGATGAGGAGCTTCCTCGCATTAAAAGCTTTTTTTTTTCCAAGGTGAGTGAGAAATGCATAATGATTGCAAATGAATTGGGGGGTGTATGGTTTATGTCCAATGTTGGACCCTTTGGTTTGCTATAACTTCCCTTTAATTTTTTGAGTTGTTTGAAGGGTATATATTATAGACATGTCTTGCTCAACTATGTGAGGAAATTCCCTATTTTGCTCAATTTGTTGGATTCAATGGGGTCTTGTGTTGTGCACCTTTATATACTATTTCTAAGCAGGCCACCTTAGATCAATGCATCTCTTTTTAATATATGTTGATTATATAAGATTTTATTAAGTATCTTTTGATCAATGCATCATTTGTATCAGCATCATATATGATTTTTTTTTGTAGAGTTTATCATCATTATAATGGTTGTGTTTATCAAGGTTTTAAAACAAAATTTTGGTTCCAAGTTAAAAATTCCCGTTTCAGTAATTTTGATAGTTTTGTTGATTTCAATATTATGCTTTGGCTACTTTGTTATTATATCTCCTATTTTCTTAGCCTATCTAGTAAATATAAAATATTGCAAGAAATATATTTAAGGTATGAATAAAGAGGATTATCCAATTAAGGTTCAAATGTTAAGTTTCAAAGATAGAATCGTGGTAGAACATTGTCACTAGTCAAGGGTTTTAGTGAAGTTTTGTTTAAAATCTACAAAATTTGGGTGAAACTTTGACTATCATTCAGAACTTCATTGAAATTCTTGGGTTTTGACTAAAACTCTTTACATCAACCAAAATTGAAAATATTATTGAATATGTGATCATTTTCAATCTAAATTGATCAGAAACCACCAAACTAAACTGAAACCACATAAACTTAAAACCATAGTCCCCTTATGGATTAAAATTTGCATAATAAATTTTATTTTTCCTAATGAAATGCATGCTTTGAATGTTAGGTATGTTAACTACGTGCAGCAAATTGGGGCAGACTAGAATAACGAACACAATATTTACGTTAATTTTTATTCTAAAATACTTTACGAGTTTCATTTTGAGTTGAGGTTTTAGCATAATCATGCAACGTGCGTGCTTTGTGGAAGATTTGACTAAAATTTTGAACTGTTGATATTCTAGATTAAAATGTTTTGGAGGATGTATTTCAAAATTTACTGTATTCTTTATTTTAATCCTTTGTAATATTTTTATTTCTTATCAATTGGAAACCCTGCTTTATAAGTTGACAACTGTATGAGTATCTTGTTCAATGTTGGTATGATATACTGGCTTACCCTCTTACCCTCTTATACTAGTTAGTTAAACTAGCAGCTCTATCAAACTAGTCATTTTAGTTAAAATAGCAGCTCTATCATTTTTTTTTTTTTTTAGGGGTTATCTAACTGTCTTTTGCTTCCTTTTACTTATGCAGGTTCGCTAGTCTATTAATTCTCCATTTAGTGTTCTCTACAGGTCATGTAAAGTCACAAATATCTTTGATATTATACAGTAACAGCAAACTTGTTCACAACTTTGCATACTGTATAGGTACTAAATTTTCTATAATTTATAATATTCTTGCAGTTAGTTATGGAAATGTCTTTAATTTCATTGTTAGCCTTGTTTAGCATTTTCTGATATCTTAAAATCTGTGCATCAATTGGTTAAGTTAATCATGTATTATTGTTCTCGCACATCTTTTAGTTGTGATAATCAAAAGTTTTTTTTTTTAATTTGTTAATGACATTTATTCTTGCATGCTTCAAAAGTTTTAAACCTGAGTATTCGCCTGGATGTAATGTGGGTGTATGCTGCTTTTGTGCTTGAACAGTGAAGATTGCTGCTACTTGTATGTAAAGTTAATTCTTCCATTATTATATATGAATATATATTTTGCTCATTCGTTTCCATTTGATGACTTTTAATACAATCGAATTGGTTAAAATTTCTAATTGATAATTCATTTTAAATTTGTATTTCAGAATCCAGACTCGAACATTCAACATCTAGCTGCTTTCCCATTTGAATCAAGGTCTGCGGAGCACGAGTTTGGTAGCCAAACAGAAGATTCAACTATCTTCGTGGATGAAATTTTTAAAGCCCTGGATTCTTTGGATGATATGACTCAGGATGCGGATTTTTCTGCTCCACAGGTTACTAACACTACTCTTAACAGGCTTGGAGAAAGGGAGGGTCCTGAAGATCAGTCAAAATTTACTTCAATTCATAGTAATGGATATGTGCAGTTAGATGATATTTTTGTCGAGGGTAACGCAAACTTCTGCTCTGACGCACACTTAAGTCATTGCACATTGGAGAAAGGTAATAATAACTCAGAGGTGGATGGCATGTGTCCTTCAAAAATCTTACTCCAAAAGCCTGTTGAAGGGGACTCGCCTAGTGCTAATTCTACCAACCAACTAGATCAGCTACAGATGTGCCCAGCTGTTCAGCATGATATGTTTCCACAACCTTTTGATCCTTTGGATGCTGTGCCTTGGGAATATTCTGGTCAATTGGCTGAGGGTAACTCAGTATATTATGATGCACTCAACCATGAAGTTCCGTATTCAGAAGACGGTTTTACATTTGAAGCTTCTTTGTCACCCTTGGCGGAATTTGACTTTTCGGAGGATTTAATGGGTTACTTTGATGCTAAAGATAACCTAATTTATGGTTCTCCAGATCTCTTCCTTTCACAGTTCAAGCTGGCTAATTCTGATGAATGGGTCGAGCCAAATGATTCACCTGAGGTGATTTACTGATTTCTATTCCAATATCTTAAGAAAAATATGCTTAACATTCTCTGGAAGAAGCTCTATCTCTTAATTGGGCTATCTACCTAATGATGTACTGCAGGTTGTTGGAAGCAGTAGTTTGTCTCGCAAGGATGTTTTTCATGTTGAAGAAAATTTAGTGCAGCAGTCTTCATTAGAGAAGAAACGAACTGGTGATGGACCTTTAGGTGGATTGAATGATAATCTAACTGGTATGATCATTGATTCAAACAGTTGACTTATTGTCCTTGATCATGTCTGCATGCACCCATTTTTCAACTGACATGCTGTTAGACAGCGGATGAAATGTTACCTTCCTGTTTATTTTTTTGGGTGGTGTTGTATAAATTTTTTTGCAGTCGATCACATTCATAACTTTTATTACTAACTTCTTTACCTGTTCTATCCTTCTTAATCTTTTATATATAGATTTTTTTTTGTTTTGACCCATTGCAGGGAAGTCTGGCGATGGTTTTTCTATCTTCTTGCATTTTTTTTTTAAATCTTTTTTGCCCCAAGAATGGTTTCCTCAACTCATTTTCATTATAAATATGGTAGATTCTATTAAATTACTAACAAACCATAGTCAGTAAATAATATGGTAGGATATTTTCCTATGGATGAAGTTTCATGTTCCAATAAGTCGTAGTCATCATTTGTGTGGCTGTTATGTGCTTATTAAAGTCGTGGTTTCATTTAAAAAAAAAAAATTAAAAAAAAAAAAAAAAAAGTCGTGGTTTTAAAAAAAAAAAAAAAAAGTCGTGGTTTCATCTGGCTTATTAGACTAATGTTATGCCTTTGCTAGTTTACAGTTTTTGAAATTATCACACAGAATTTTAATAGTTTATGCAACATATTAATTTGTAGAATGTAAAGTCTATGATTTCTGATGCATATCTAACATGTAATATATATTTAATATCCATCCAACTAATATAACAAAAATGCAATTTTCATGGTACACAAGCTGATTGTCTGATAGGAAGTGCTTGTATTCACAAGCAACCTATCCAAAATCTGCGAACCAACAGCAGCCAACTGGCTGTCCACGCAGGAAAACAGCAGATTTCTGCTGTTTACAGCAGAAAAACAGCACTTGTTCGAGAAAATACGAGAGAAAACTCAAGAAAAGACTTGTATTCCACTTAAACGATGAATAAAAGAGCAAGATACAATTGATCCTCAATTCGAGAGGAGGATCGATCTCTCCCAAATCTCTAGACGCCGCTAGAGCCCAAAGAAACCTAAATCTAAGAGATCTCAAATTTCAGCCAAATTCAAGATGATCAAACCCTAGGAAAATCTACTACTTAATGCATATGATATTTTTGTCGAGGGTAACGCAAACTTCTGCTCTGACGCACACTTAAGTCATTGCACATTGGAGAAAGGTAATAATAACTCAGAGGTGGATGGCATGTGTCCTTCAAAAATCTTACTCCAAAAGCCTGTTGAAGGGGACTCGCCTAGTGCTAATTCTACCAACCAACTAGATCAGCTACAGATGTGCCCATCTGTTCAGCATGATATGTTTCCACAACCTTTTGATTCTTTGGATGCTGTGCCTTGGGAATATTCTGGTCAATTGGCTGAGGGTAACTCAGTATATTATGATGCACTCAACCATGAAGTTCCGTATTCAGAAGACGGTTTTACATTTGAAGCTTCTTTGTCACCCTTGGCGGAATTTGACTTTTCGGAGGATTTAATGGGTTACTTTGATGCTAAAGATAACCTAATTTATGGTTCTCCAGATCTCTTCCTTTCACAGTTCAAGCTGGCTAATTCTGATGAATGGGTCGAGCCAAATGATTCACCTGAGGTGATTTACTGATTTCTATTCCAATATCTTAAGAAAAATATGCTTAACATTCTCTGGAAGAAGCTCTATCTCTTAATTGGGCTATCTACCTAATGATGTACTGCAGGTTGTTGGAAGCAGTAGTTTGTCTCGCAAGAATGTTTTTCATGTTGAAGAAAATTTAGTGCAGCAGTCTTCATTAGAGAAGAAACGAACTGGTGATGGACCTTCAGGTGGATTGAATGATAATCTAACTGGTATGATCATTGATTCAAACAGTTGACTTCTTGTCCTTGATCATGTTTGCATGCACCCATTTTTCAACTGACATGCTGTTAGACAGCGGATGAAATGTTACCTTCCTGTTTATGTTTTTGGGTGTTGTATAAATTTTTTTGCAGTCGATCACATTCATAACTTTTATTACTAACTTCTTTACCTGTTCTATCCTTCTTAATCTTATATATAGATTTTTTTTTTTGTTTTGACCCATTGCAGGGAAGTCTGGGGATGGTTTTTCTATGTTCTTGCATTTTTTTTATCTTTTTTGCCCCATGAATGGTTTCCTCAACTCATTTTCATTATAAATATGGTAGATTCTATTAAATTACTAACATACCATAGTAAGTAAATAATATGGTAGGATATTTTCCTATGGATGAAGTTTCATGTTTCAATAAGTCGTAGTCATCATTTGTGTGGCTGTTATGTGCTTATTAAAGTCGTGGTTTCATCTGGCTTATTAAACTAATGTTATGCCTTTGCTAGTTTACAGTTTTTGAAATTATCACAAAGAATTTTAATAGTTTTATGCAACATATTAATTTGTAGAATGTAAAGTCTATGATTTCTGATGCATATCTAACATGTAATATATATATAATAACCATCCAACTAATATAACAAAAATGCAATTTTCATGGTACACAAGCTGATTTTCCTAACCAACCATTTGCTAGTCATGAGAATTGAAAATGTTAAAAATTCAATTCAACCGAAAGAGTTTGCCTTCTATTATAAATCAATGATAAGAAAACTATGGATTATGAAAGCTATGCATAGGATAAAAATTTTCATGAAAAAAAAAAGTTACAAATTCTAATATTAAATCTCACTTTAAACAAATAATAAAATTGATTACTAGGAGAGGATAGAACAGAAAAATGAGTTAATCCTCAAAAAACAAGCCTATACTCATACAAGGAGGGACTATCTTTTGGAATTTTAAAATCTTACACTTGATGAAGGAATTTAATCCTGGAATGCGAAGGGTTTGCAAATCAAAGCATTTTTATCAACATTAGAATTATTTTCTTAGCATTCCTTAAATTTCTATTTGTAATTCTCATGAAAGAGCAGAAATATAAGAAGCCCTCTGAGGACTTAGCCACTGATTCTACACAATGGTTTCAAATTGAAGTATGTTTGTAATCGAGTTAAACCAAAATTTAAAACTATAGACTAAAATTGAACCATTAAAATATGAAACTGAATTGAACCTATTTATTTGGTTCATATTCGGTTCTTGATTTTGACTATGGAAAGTATGCTTCTATGTTCAATAAGAAGTAATTACTTTCTCTTCATCAAGCATTCCACCGTGGGATTGAATATCAAAATATAAATAGAAATAGATGAATGGTGACGGTTGATTTATGTCTTTATAAAGTAGATGGATATGTTGCTGCGGAGCACCCTAAATCCATTACTTGCTAAACTGGTTTGATTCGGTTTAAAAAAATATATAAAACTTAAAGGTGAACTGATAGACCTACAAATTGATTGGGAGGGAATTTGGAAATTTCCTAATGAAGAGGGAGTCGTTTAGGAAGGTTCTTAATACAAAAGAATTAATTATGAGATGTTTCTTAATTGAAGAGAGCATATATGAGGGCTGATTTAAAGGGAATTAATTAGGAAATGTTTCCTAAATGAAGAGGACATATTTAGGAAATGATTTGGGGCGATTAATTAGGAAATATTTTCTAATTGAAGAAGACAGATTTATGGGATGATTTAAGAGCTGATTTGGGAGAGAAATAATTAAGGAAATAGGAGTGAATTAGGGGAGAGCTTTTTGGGTATTTGTTGTTTAATTGTTTGGTTTAAATAGGAAGAGAGGATTAGGGTTAGGGATATGCAAATTGTTGGGGTTATTCTTGTTCTTGAAGTTTGGTGTCTTGGGCTCTAGCAGCATTTAGGGATTGGGAGAGAGATTCTCCTCTCGAATTGAGGATCAATTATATCTAGCTATTTTCTTATGTTAGTTTGATTATTGCAATAAAAAAACTACTGTTTTTCCATTCTTTTCATTGGTTTTATGGATTGTTTTTGTTGTTTTTTCTTTTATTGTTAGGGTTTATTTGAAATCTTCAAGTATTTCCTAACAAATTGATATCAGAGCAGATTTTGGGACTGTTTTGGGGATTTTTCTAAGAAAATCAGCGGCTGATTTTTAAATGGAAGGGGGCAGTTTTGTTGTTTTTGGAATCAATATTCGGTTTTTTGAGTCTAACAAAAATAAGAGTATTGATGGCGGCCAAGAAAGTGGATGTGTTGGAGAAACTTGTCGAAGGGGAGATGAGTCACAAATGAAAGCACAATGGAAGATAGAATTTCATTAGTGGAAATTTTATTTTTCGATCTTCATGAGATGGTGAAGAGGATATTAAAAAATCAAATTCAAACGGCAACATTGGAGACAAAGGGGCCGGTAGGAAGAACTACAAATTCTGAATTTCATAGGAGGGAAAAAGATGTGGAGATTATTGAGGTGAAAGGTGGAAGGTATGGAGAGGCATGATTATGGGGACATGAACCAAGGGGTGTTGATTGGGAGAGAAAATAGGGGGATTATGGTAGGAGGGGTGTTGATTTGAATGGAAGGAGGGGAGAAAGTGGAGATGGGTTTGGGTATGAGCGTGGAAGGGAAGATCTGCAGACTTGGGGAGGGCCAAACATTTGGGAAAGGAGAAATTATGGAGGAATCCAGGGAAATGGCGGAGATCTGAAGGTACGAAAGCTGAAGATGCCCATTTTAGAAGGGGAGGATGCACATGAGTGGATTTACAAGGTGGAGAGGTATTTCACTGTCAATGTGTTGACGGTGGAGAAAAAATTGATGATGGCTGGCCTATGTTTGGAAGGGAATGCGTTGTTTTGGTGCCAGTAGATAGACATGAGGAGTCTAATACGGAGTTGGAGGTAGTTCAAGGAATGCTTATTGGAATGTTTCCGAACTGATAGAGAAGGAGACTTTTATGAGCAGTTCTTTGCACTAGTGTAGGAAGGATCAGTGGCAGATTACTGTGAGAGATTTGAGTGCCTGGCCAGTCGATTAGATCGACTATCAGAGACTGTTTTGGAGGTTAATTTCATGAAGGGATTCAAATCAGAGATCATGGCCACAATAAGAGTCATGAGGCATCGTGACTTGGAGGAGGTAACGGAGC